GAGGCAGAGCCAGGCGGATCTCTGTGAGTTCGAGGCCAGCCTGGTCTCCAAAGCGAGTTCCAGGAAAGGCACAAAGCTACACAGAGAAACCCAAAAGCCAATATATATATATATATATAAAATTATTCATAATCTTATTATTAGCTGATAATATTACTAACTTATTTCTTTTGTAGCCTTTTCATTTTTTTTGTAATGATAAAAATAATTAAAAATGCAATCTGTGAGTTTAAGGCCAGCCTGGTGCATATAGTGAAGTCAGGGGACATAGAGACCATCTTAAAAAGGGGCGGGTGGGAGTTGAAAATTATTGCTGATCACAGCATTCAGGAGGGTCACGAGTTAGAGATCAGCAAGGGTTGTGTAGCATGTTCCCAAAGCAGGAAAGAACCAGAATAACTTCTACTTCTAGAAAAAGTCGCCTATATAAAATTGGAATGTACTGGCTGCATAACCAGTTAGGTACAAACATATAACGTGGCTGGATGTATTGATCACTTCTTTAATCCCAAGCACTTGGCAGGCAGATGAGGCAGATCTGAGTGTGAGATCAGTGTGGTCTACATAGCAAGTTCCAGGCTGGCTACATAGCAAAACTGTTTTTAAAAACCTTATAACTGTCTTTTTTACATTACGTAATAGCCTGCTTTGTGCCACTCCAAAGAAATAGGAAATATATACTACTATCAGCTAAAGAGGGGTTTGTTTTGACTCCTAGGTCTAGATACTTAAGTCCCAGATTGGTGGCCCCGTTGGTTTGGCTTCTGGGAGTTCCACATCCCAGTGGGAATGCTTGTCAAGACAAACGGACCCTTCTCCAGCTGTGCACCAGTGAGCCTGAGACATGGGTCCCCGGGTACCTTTGAGGCATAGCCCCAGTGACCTGGTGCCTACCATTGGGTCCTATACTATTTTTGTTGTTTTGTGTAGGGAATCCTTAAATGATTCTTTGAGAATCCCTTTATTGATTTCCCAATGATTTTAGAATAACTCTCAAATCCCATAAGGGCCCTTCATGATCTGAGTAGTTATTATGGCCGGTTCTTATCTTGAGTTAATCTAGTTTTGATTGTTTGTTTTGGGGTGTGTGTGTGTGTGTGTGTGTGTGTGTGTGTGTGTGTGTGTGCGCGCGCGCGCAAACCATCAGGCTACGTCAGTTCCTCGGGGCTCCCTGTTTGTTGACCTTCCCTTTCCAATCTGTTGTCACTTTAATTTTCAGGCTGCTTTGCTGAAGAATGATGAGACTAAAGCCCTCACCCCGGCTTCCTTGCAGAAAGAATTGAACAACTTGTTGAAATTTAATCCTGATTTTGCTGAAGCAGTGAGTTTTTTCCAGAATTTGTTGGGTTGCAAAGAAAGGTCAATGCTGTTCAACCGGTCAGATTAGAATTTAGAAATTCTAGGTTCTAAAAGAAATGACGTTGTTGGCAGGGTAAGAGCAGGCCTAGGTTGCAGGGCTCTCCCACTGTCTCCGGGCAGAGGCCCTGCTACTGTGTTCTTGAACATCATGGGTGTGGCTTTGGACAGGAGATTAATAAATCTCCAGTAACTCATTAATAAAACCATTTTTGGGCTAAAAGAAATATTTTCTCCCTTTTGTGAGTATTTTTAAAAATTAAATATCCAATAATTTAATTCTATCAAGTGTGTTACTCTGCGACCTTCTTAATGATACTTGATTTGACATCAGATTTTATTCTCATGTCCAAACAGCGCTTTCATTTTCCAGTAACTGAGATCTGCCCATTAGGAGGGTGGTTTAACTCTGGGATTCAAAGCAGAGGGACAGGAATTAACTTGGTAGCTAATTTATACTAGTCTTACTCTGTCTTCAGTTGGACATCTAGAAGAATTAAACTTACCATTTGTATATGGATCAGGGTTTCATTACTTCAGTGTTCCTTAATTTCTGAGCTTGGGGAGGTGTGCTACCCTTCTGTGTTACTCGAGGGTCTGACACAGCCACCATAGCCCGTGTATTAGGATGAACCTGAGCAAACACCTAACGGGATTGCTGCTTGTCCTCTGTGGACTGTCGCAGCCCAGTATCTGGAATCTTATTTATTTTGCCTATGGAGAAAAGATTAAGATGAGCCCTGGCTTCCATAAGACAACTGATTATTTTTTGTTTTAGCATTACCTCAGCTACTTAAACAACCTCCGTGTTCAAGATGTTTTCAGCTCAACGCACAGCCTCCTTCACTATTTCGACCGCCTGATTCTCACCGGAGCTGAGGGCAAAAGCAATGGGGAGGAGGGTTATGGCCGGAGCCTGAGATACGCCGCCCTGAACCTGGCCGCCCTGCACTGCCGCTTCGGTCACTAGTGAGTTCGTAGACTGTCCATGCGGGCACGCAAGGCCAGCTCCTCGCTGTTAACTGCAGTGTGTTTTAAAACATGAGCCATTGCCAGTGTAGTGACGCACTCGGGCAGAGGCGCGTGCATTGCTGACCTGGAGACCAGCCTGGTCCACATAGCAAGCCCCAGGCCAGCCAGGGCTTCGTAGTGAGACCCGTCTCAGAAACGAACAGAGACCACTCTTGAGGCGTGGGGGCCCGTGCTTGTAATCCTCAAGAGTTGGAGGTCAGAGGGCAGCTGTAAGCTCAAGGCCAGCCTGGGCTACCTAGAAGTCTCTGTCACAAAACAACAAGCAATTTTATTTTAAAATGAAGGAAGAAACTGATTTAAGATTTTTCTAGATTTGTTTCCAGCTTCCAGAGTGAACCTTTCTACACTGCAACACAAGTTAATGACAATCCTCCTCAGTAGTATGCCCCCTGGCGTCACTAGGTAGTAGTGCATGTTCTAGTGCCTGTCTGTTTTTTTACTTCTAAGAACAACACAGACATTTAGGGATGAGGAAATTAGGTCATTAGGCCAAGGGTTCCCAAAAGGATTTTTGGACATAATGATGGTGCTGCGGAAGCTATTTTCAGTATTTGAAAAGCTAAAGGAAAGTTACGTCTGCTGGTAGAAGACTGCGTAGCTTGCTGGAAGTACTGTGTGCTTTTGCGTGAGTACACGAAGCCGTGAGGTGAAACCGGTTGATTTTGTTTTTGTGTATACCTGGCTTTATTGTCTGTTTATTTTGTTTTGTGGAAAATACATGAGAACTTGGAGTCAGGGCAAGTGTGTGGACATCTTCCTGGAGAGGAGGCCGTATAGGAGGGTTAGATTGATTGCAAGTGTGGCTGCAAGTTACCAGACACAGTCTGAGAGAAACCACTGCTGAACAGACTCAGAAAAGCATTGTGGTGCTCCAGTCCAGAGCAGGGTGTCCTCAAGGAGATTCAGGCCACAGACGGATGCTCCAAACCAACCATTATGTAATAGCTTACAATAGCTAACTCCTTTTTCTTCTTTATTAAGTGTGCTTTCTTGTTTGGTTGGTTGGTTGGTTTTTCACTCCTCTTGGGGTGCTAGATTTGGGACCCGGGACCCCGAGGATGTTAGATAACCACTTTACCACTGAGCAACAGCTCCAGCCCCAAAGACCTTTCTTTTTCTTAACAGGGTTTCAGGTTTTCCAACTGGCCTCCAGCTTGCTACATAGCTAAGAGTGACCTTGAACTTGTAATCTTCCTGCCTCTGTCTCCTAATGCTGGGATTTCTGGTGCCCACCAGCTCGACGGCTTACGTGGTAGTGGAGATTGGACTAGAAGTAGACACCCCCTGCTGACAGTTCTAGCCCTGGCCCCATAGTGATGGGCTTTTGATGACTGTTTACTGATCATATACTTCATCCTAGGCACCCTTGTGTGTGTCAGGGGTACAGAGTGAGAACAGGAAACCCTGATGTGACCCCCGCTCACTGTGGAGAGGGAGGTAGCGGTTCAGAGGGTGACCCTGGAGCAGGTGAGAACTGCTGCTGGAGTTGCCATTGCCCAGGTGTGTGCACGTGCCCAGGTGCCCAGGTCTCAGTCGGTCCTGCCTGCAGCCTGCTGGCCCGAGAGGGAGACAGACTTGGGGAAGCCAAGGGCCTGGGCCTGTGTTTGGAGGAAGTAGTCACTTCAGTGAGAAGGGTCCAAGGCAGGAGCTTATGGTTCGTCGGAGCTGGGTGCATCCTGGCTCTGTACGTGAGGGGAAGTGGAAGGTGACAGGGTCAGCATTTGGTCCTGGAGACCAGGTGAGAACTCTGGCGTTCTCTCTGAGTAGTGTAGGAGGCCATTGCTTCTGTCTTGGAAAACTAAGTAGGTATCACAGTACACTTCAGATGTGGCACCAGCTTGCCTCTTGCTCTTTTTTAGCTTTTGTGAGACAGTCCCATGTAGCCCAGCCTGGTCACAGACCTGTGCCACCAAGCCAGCTTCTTTTACTGAAAACGTTGGCTTGACTTTTTTGAAGTTTCTGTGTTGGAAGTTGCTGTCCCACTGTATGGTTCTCTCAGACTCTTCTTTCCTAAGCTTAGCACTGTGTGGCCATCTGCTGTTCAGTGGAGTGATATTAACTGAGGCCCTGTGTGTGAGTGTGTGCTTCCTGTTCTCAAGTAGCCCACGATCTAGGGCATTACATTCTGCTCAGCAGGAAAGCAGTTTGAAAGAAAAGCAAAACAGGTGGAAAGGTACCTGGCCTTTCCCTTTGAACAGGCGTGGAGAAGGAAGCCCAGGACGACCTGGTTAAAGTTACACCTGTGCGGCTGTTGCTGGTGTTGAAGAAAAGTCACCGTGCGTGTTTTCCTTAAGTAAATGGCATCCGGGAAACTGCGGTTCTTACATGGAGGTGCCGGTGGTGGTGTTAGTGAGGCTCTGTTCCTGTTGTTTGCTTTTGGGGAATCCAGAGTGGAAGGCATGGTCTGTGCCGCTTGTGAGGTGGTTAGTAAAGTTACCCAGGTTAAGAGGGCGCCTAGTAGTAGTAGTTAGTGGAGTGTTGCAAAATGGGGTTTTCAGAGGTGCTAGCTCGTCAGGCCTGAGAAGAGCTGGCTGGGCTGCCAGAGACACTGAGAAGTTGGGGGAGACCATCTGGTTTTCAGTGGACAGAGAAAAAATTTACCAGAAATAGCAATCTTCAGAAGGCTTCTGATAACTGCTTTTTTTTAAAAATGATGATGCTAATGTAGCAGCTGCTCATAATGTTTTGTCGTTATTGTTGTTGATTTTGTTTTTAACAGTGCAGAAAATAGCTTAGTGAAAAGGAAAATGGTGGTCTTTTCCTTGCTGTGCTTGGCAGTGGACGGCTGGGTAAACCATTTTAGAAGCAGCAAGGAAAGCCATTGCCTTCCCTAGACATCCCCAGGAAGGACCTGTCCCTGCCTCCACAGTGGGTGTTTCCCGCTCCCCGGGCTGGGGTAGCCACTGGGGAAAGCAGTCCATAAAGAGCCACACTGCAGCTAGAGCCTGCTGGCGGCCAGGCTGCGCACACATGACTTCCTGCTCCTGACGCGTGCATGTCTGTGATCGCTAACGGGATGGTAATGTCCAGTCTGTCATTAGTCAACAGGCAGAGCTCGCCCTGCAGGAGGCAATTAGGATTGCCCAGGAGTCCAACGATCACGTGTGTCTGCAGCACTGTTTGGTGAGACCGTCCTCTGGTCCGGGGATTTTGCTCACGGGTTTAGTTGGCCTCCTGAAGGCCCAGTTTTAATCAGGTTGTTTGGCAGTGGGAGCAAAGGTCCTTAGCGGTGAGGGGAAACTACTTAGGTAGACACAGGAATCCACACAGGGCCCCCAGGGTCACTTATCATTCTTAGTTCATGGCATTTGTTCTGCTTCGAGAACTTTCTATCTGTACAACTTGCCATGAAAAAGAGAGTCAAGTACTGCATTGCTGTTGGCATTAATGAAACGCTATATTATACCTAGTAACTTGGTGAGACAGTGGTGTATTAAAGCATCATTGCCAAGTTCATAGAGTACTGAGACATTGACAATCACCCGTGACTCTCATCCCAGTGAAGTGCCACACGGGAGCTTTATGCTTCTTTCTGAAGTGCCTATCGTTGGGGGCTGGCAGAGATAAAGTGGATCAACGGCTTGTTTGTCTCAGTCTGGCTTTGCTGAAGGTTTTAATATTCCTGACCAGTTTCATTTACACTCAGAATTCACAAGAGACAGACAGTGTTTTAGAGGGTTTATTTTGTCCCTTCAAATTCTTCCTTATGCCCACATTGATGTTTCACTGGAACAGCCGCCCTTGCCATTCTTATGACACGTTTTGATGGTTCTCCTCTCTTGCCAGAGCTGGCTTTATGTGCTGGGGCAGAAGAGAGCTGATAGCTATGTTCTGCTGGAGCATTCTGTGAAGAAGGCAGTACATTTTGGGTTACCGGTAAGGCTCATCTTTCTGTGAGATTGTTAGAATAAGTGGTGTTGAACCTCTTCTTCCACCCACCTTGGTCGGGACCCAGCGTAGACTTAGAGTGGGTATCTCCACATGTGCTTTCCTTCCGCCTTGTTTCCTACGACTTGAGTTATTAATCACACCACTAAATTCTTTTGGGCAGGTTTCTCTCTATTCCCTTTGTCCTAATAACATCTGTGAGAGCTCCACTTACTGATTTGATAAGAGAGCTTTGTTTAGTTTTCGTGTATTGAGCAACAGTTAGTTAGTACATTTTCACTTAGAAAAATTATCGAAAAGGCTTTTTTCTTCTTTTTTAGTGCTGGAGATAGAACCCATAACCTTACACATGCATGCTAGGCAGGTGCTTTACCGTAGCTGAGCTACGTCCTCAGCCCTGGGAAGACTTAATTTTAAACCAGGGATTGGCAAACTACAGCCTGTGTTTCAGATCTGGTGCTCTGTCTGCCTGTGTATGAACTTTGCTAAGAAACGTTTACATGTCTAGATGGATGGGGCAGGAGGACAGCCAGCCACAAGTAAGCAGAGACCAAATGTGGCCTGGAAACCGAAATCTGCTCTGACCCTTGCCAGAATGTTTGCTGATCCTTGTTTTAAACAGTAAGCAAAGCCTGCTGGGAAGATCTGTTTTCGTTGGAGCCTCAGTGACAGGCAGAGGGCGGGGTCTGTGCACAGAAAGGAGGGATGGCTTTGGGGTCTAGACTGCCGATGGAAGAGCATTGTTCTGTCTCGGCGTCTGGTTGGTCCAGGACCATAGACCGTGAGACCGAGAGCAGTTTAATGCACATCTATTCAATCTGTGCATCACCTGTGGGATCTCTTCGGGAAAGAGAACATACATGGACAGAATTGAAGTGGCTCTTTAGAGACAGCTTAATACACTCTTGATACAGATTTAAACTGCCTTTTTTAGTTCAGCTTTTTACCCTTGAAGATTATTCCAGAAGTTAAAAAGATAACTTGTTGCTCATGACAGGCATCCTTTTTTTTTTTTGATCTCCTGTTACCTAATGTGCCTGGCACTGTTTGCTCTATTATCTCATTGTAATCCTTACCACGATTCTTTATGATAGGTTTGATGCCCATTTTACAGATGAGGAAGCTGAGGCTTAGCTAAGAAGCTAAGTGACTGGCCCTAAGTCAACAGTAAGTAGCAGAGGCAGTGTCTTAAGTCCAGGTTACCTAATGCCGAAGCCCTGGCTCTTTGCCATGTACCCTCTGCTTCTCTTTCAGCCCTAGAGTTTCAGGAACACATCTCCATGGGTCAGGGTTAAGGTCAGGCCGTAGGTACTCTCCTTTAAGTAGAGCTGTCACTGTGCATGTGCTGAAATGTGAAATCCACCACATTTCTGAAGAGCAAAACAAATTCTGTCATGTAATCTCTATCTTGGGTCGTGGGTATATCTGTCCCCTTAGTACCTCGCCTCCCTGGGAATACAGTCCCTTGTTCAACAGAGAGCTTTTGCTGGGAAGACGGCCAACAAACTGATGGACGCCCTAAAGGACTCCGACCTCCTGCACTGGAAACACAGCCTGTCGGAGCTCATTGACATCAGCATTGCCCAGAAAACGGCCATCTGGAGGCTGTACGGCCGCAGGTAGGTGTCCAGGCGGACTGCCAGAGCCACGGCAGTGTGGAGCCTCACACTGGTCCTGTGCAAGGGTGTCCCCTTTGGAAGTTGTTCATGGAGGGGATTACAGAAAATGCTTCGTCATCTGGAGACGTTTTGTAGGCTGCACGAACTTGGCAGAGTCTGCCCCACATCCCCGGTTTACTCTTCCCGCTGCTCTTGTCTAGAACCGGTGGGTGATCCCTCATCTGGTTTGCACATTTGATCTCAAGATCATGAGTCTAACTGACCAGTGACCAGCTGGGGCTCAAACCTCGATCACCTGACCCGGAGCTGAGACCCCCCCCTTCCTGTTCGCATGCTGCATGGCCTCCTTGTACAAGTCCAGCATCCCCCTCCCCACAGCCGCCTGTGTAGACAAGAGTGCTTCTCTGTCGAGGTGTTTCCTCTGGAATATCTCCAGCCACTCTGTTTTCCACTCAGCCACGTGTAGTTTGGAAGTAAACTTCTGAACCAGACTTTGCTCTGGAGCCCTGTCTCGGTCTCATTGGTCCCCTCGACAGTCTGTAATTTCTAGGAATTCAGTAACGGAAGGAAGCGCCTCTTTACCAGTCTTGTTTTTGTATTTCAGATAATTTTTTGGCACGGTGAGCTCTGAAACAGCTGCCGACACTGGCCACTGCCTGCATTGCCAGAGCAGCCGGTGCCAGGATGGCATCGGGTCTGAATTTACCCGTGAAACCTAATTAACACCCATCCCGTGACCTCAGGGAACATCGTGGAGGGGGAGGGGGAGGGGGGGTCTGGGTGCTGAGTGCTCCCACTTGTGCTGACCTACTCTGCGTCTCCTTGGGGCCTGCACACCCAGGATCCTTCTCTCTCCTCGGCCGAAAGCTGGAGGGCCGGCATGGGGAGGAGTCGCTCCACACATCCAGAGCCGCAAGAGTTCACTTTCTTGTGTCTCCACTGCGGAGCACTCCAGGGTATGGCTCAGGGGCAGCCTGGGGCTGCTGCCTAAAGGGAAACCTGTCCCCTCTCCCCACCCAGCACCATGGCCCTGCAGCAAGCCCAGATGTTACTAAGCATGAACAGTCTGGAGTCGGTGAACGCGAGCGTGCAGCAGAACAACACGGAGTCCTTCGCCGTCGCCCTCTGCCACCTGGCAGAGCTCCACGCAGAGCAGGTGGGTCCGTTGTGACGTTAGCTGGGCTCTGTGCTGTGGCAGCATTCCCGAGAAAGCCAGCTTGGAAGTGGGCGCCGTACAGCATAGCAGTGCATGTGCTGCTAGAGGTCTGCTCACCTCCTGGTCCCAACACGGCCTCCAGGGTGTGCCCCAAATGGTGATTACCGGTGGGCTCTGGAGGAACACTTCAAATCCAGCTGCAGCACAGGTGAACTGACCAGTTTTGCTTCTAGGGCATTGAGGCTCTTTTTCCTTTAGTGCTTGAGAAAAGCACTAGCTGTGTGTTGGATGGGTCTGGTTGGTACAGGTTGCCGAAGAATGAAATTCCCCGTGGAGATGGTCTAAATGTGGAATGTGTCAAATGAAGGGCATCACCACCACCCCCAAGACAGGTTTTCTCTGTGCAGTTTTGGCACCTGTCCTGAATCTCACTCTGTAGACCAGGCTGTCCTCGAAATCACAGAGATCTGCCTGGTTCTGCCTCCCGAGTGCTGGGATTAAAGGCTTGTGCCACCGCCACCCGGCTTAAATGAAGGGTACTTTGACATCAGTGAAGGGACCAAGAGGTTGTGGCTATTGTATTTAAGAAATAGAACAGGCTGGGCATGGTGGCGCATGCCTTTAATCTCAGCCTGCTGTAATTTATCCGATTTTAAGTTTTTGGTTTTCCTCCTAGAAAGAGCTTTGCATGCCAGTCTAATTCAAAACAGTTTTTAAGCAGGCGTGGCAGTGCACACCTGTAGTCCCAGAACCTGGGAGGTAGAGGCAGGAGGGAGAGGGAGGTCATGGCCAGACTAGATTACAATGAGACCCTGTCCTTTTGTTTGTTTCTTTTTGTTTTGTTTTATTTTTAAGACAGTATTTCTCTGTGTAATAGCTCTAACTGTTCTGGAACTCAGTTTGTGGACCAGGCTGGCCTCGAACTCACAAAGATCTGCCTGCCTTTGCCTCCTGAGTGTTGGGATTAAAGGCGTGCACCACCACCACCACCACCACCCAGCTGAGACCCTGTCTTCTTCAAAATGAGGCTAAGTGTAGCCATTTCTTGAATGGATTCTCTTCGGTGGTGCAGATAACATCTGTGTAAATCATGTCTGCATATATCTGAACCAAGTTGAGTGGCAGAGTTTGATAATAACTATATTTACCGAAAACAGTTTTTACAATTAAAGTTCACATTTTAACATGAAAAAGAAGATTAAAAGAAAGTATAAAATTCATTAGAACATATAAGAAAAAAAGATACCTTACTGTGACATTCAGTTCTCTGTGCCTATTGTCTTCTGGCTGGCTAATGAAGATCAGGTAGGTCACGTGAACCTCCTGGGAGTGTGAGCAGGTGTAGCCTCAGTTTTGGTATGTCAATCAGTATTCATGCCTTTCTATTTTAGGGTTGTTTCGCCGCCGCCGCTGAAGTATTAAAGCACTTGAAGGAGCGCTTCCCACCCAACAGTCAGCACGCCCAGGTAACATGCCTTTGTTGTGCCAGTGCATTTATTTCTGAAAAGAATACTTTTACTTTTTTTTAAGACATGGTAAAAAGATATCACAAGCTATCTCCAAACTCTGACAATAACATTGAACTTCTGATACTTATGCCTGCCCCTCCCAAGTGCTGGGATCGCAGACATGTGCTATCACAGTGGCTGTGTTATGATTGGGATGAAACCCAAAGCGTTATGCACCCTGGACAAGCATTTTCCCATTTGAGCTGCGTCCCTCTAAAATGGGACGTTTTAGAGTCTTCCCTCAGAAAACCATTGAGCTGTAAAGGAGGTTGTTGGTCTAGATATGTGGTTTAATGGTAGAGCACCTGCCAGGCATCCACAGGGTCCGAGTTCCTTTCCTGGCACTGCAGAAATGTGTACAAACGATGTTACTTACCTTACATACAGCTCACTGTCTGGAGAGATGCCTCAGTGGTTAAGAACATGGACCGTTCTTCTTGCACAGGACCTGAGTTCAGTTCCCACACCCATGTCAGGCAGCTCACAGTCATCTGTAACTACAGCTCCAGGGACTCTGAGAGCCCCCTCCATGCTCTGCAGGCAGTTGTACCCACATACTGATATCCACACACAGATCCACAAATGAATGAAAAATAACAACACGTGGGGAGTGGATGTTGTAGTTGGTTGTTTTATATTCTTTATACTTTGGGGGGCCCGCCACCCAGCTCCCAAATAAATTCACACATGGAGGCTTATTCTTACTTATGAATTCCCAGCCTTGGCTTGGCTTGTTTCTTGCCAGCTTTTCTTAACTCAATTGTCTCATCTATCTTCTGCCTCTGGGCTTTTATTTTTCTCTATTTCCATACACTTTTCTTTACTTTTTACTCATTTGTGCTCCGTGTCTTGCTTTGTAGCTGAGTGGGTAGGTGGGTGGCCCCTGAAGTCCTCCTCCTTCTTTTCTTGCTCCTCCATCCTCTTTTCTTTTTCCTCTTCAATTTATTCTCTGTGCCCGCCAGCTCCACCTGTCCTCTCTCCTGCCTTGCTATTGGCCATTCAGATCTTCATTAGACCATCAGATGTTTTAGACAGGCAAAGTAACACAGTTTCACTGAGCTGGAGGGATGGCTCGGTGGTTAAGAGCACTGGTTGCTCTTCCAAAGGGCCCCAGGTTCAATTCCCAGCATTCACATGGCAGCTCACAACTGTCTGTAACTCCAAAATCTGACACCCTCACAGACATACATGCAGGTAAAACACCAATGCACATAAAAAATTATTTTAAAATGCAACATATCCTTGCATCATTAAACAAATGTTCCAGAGTATAAACAAATGTAACACATCTTCAACTAATATTCCACAGCAGGATGTATTTTCTCATGTTTTTTAATGGGGGGCAGAGACAGACAGATCTTGGAGTGTGAAGCCAACCTGGTCTATATAATGAGTTATATGCCATCCAGGGACACATAGTGAGACCCTGCCTCAAAACCCAAAACAAACCCAGCTCAGGCTAGGGATGTGGCTCAGTGGGTAGAGTCCTTGCCCGGCATGCACAAAGCTTGAGTTCTATCCCTCACACCGCAGAACTTGGATGTGATGGTGGATGTCTATAATCCCAGGATTCAGGGGCTGAAGGTCGGATGGACAATGAGAAGTTCAAAATCATGGGCTGGGGATGTAAGCTCAGTGATAGAATCCTTACTTGGCATCTTCAAGGCCCTGGTTCAGTCTCCAGTACCAAACACACACACACTTACAGTCAGGTTCTAAAAGACCTGGGTTTAGTTCCCATCATCTAATGGCTGCTCACAACTTCTGAAACTACAGTTCCAGAGGATTTGACGCCCTCTTCTGGCCTCTGGGAGTGCTAGGTATGCAAGTGGGGCACTTACATGTAAAGGCAGAACTCTCATGCACATAAACTAAAAGTGAATCTTTTAAGAGTTCATAGTCATCCTGCACTGTATGGACATTTTGGGCCAGCCTGCAATGCATGAGACCCTGTCTCAAAATTAGAAAACACAGCCCCATTCTGTGTATTGTTTAAGGTAAGTATTATAAAAGTATAGGAAGCGTGAATGGGAAAGGCAGACAGCAAATCAAGTGCTCAGTGTGGAAAACAGGATGGAAATAGAATTTGCTGAGAACTTGAGTAGAACGTAAGACCATCAAAGTAAAGCACAGTGTGAGTTAATAAAGTGGACACGGATCGTGTGTGTGTGTGTGTGTGTGTGTGTGTGTGTGTGTGTGTGTGTGTGTGTGTGTGTGTGTGTGTTTTCACGGCAGCATCTCCACGGTTCAGGCTGGCCTTGGACCCTGATCTCCCCGCCTTACTTCCCCAGTGCTGGATTGCAAGTGTTTGCCACCACACACATGGGCTTCTCTTTGCGTTTTTTCTTGCTTGTAACTTTAAATAAAAAACAAATAAATAAGGTTGGGGATTTAGCTCTGGTTGAGCACTTGCCTAGTAAGTGCGAGGCCCTGGGTTGGGTCCTTAGCTCTGGAAAAACAACAACAACAACAACCTAAAATCAAACAAATAAATAATCTCAAACACAATTATGTGAATTATTAAAATGTTTGCTAAGCAAACCAATATCCTTTGATATCGCTCTTGAACAATAATGTGCATATTTTTCTTTTTGTCCTTCATTCTTTTTTCTTATTAGTTATGGATGCTGTGTGATCAGAAAATACAGTTTGACAGAGCAATGAATGATGGCAAATTCCATTTGGCCGATTCACTCGTTACAGGAATCACGGCACTCAATGGCATAGAAGGCGTATACAGGTAAGAAACCTGGAAGCTGTCACCACAGAACCAACCACTCGCTTAAACTCTCCTGCGTGCGTTGTGTGCACTTGAGCAAGCGCCACAGTACACGTGTGTCGGCCAAGACAGCCCCTGATGCTGGCCCTCCCCTTTGCCTTGTTCCAAGCAGGGTCTCTCTCTCTTGTCCACGTCTGTTTATGCCGGGCCAGCTGGCCTGAGGGCTCCTGGAGATCCCCCTTCTCCCCTCTTTCCGCCAGGATTGCAGACGCCGGTGCTGCTTCCTGTCCAGCTGTTGCCTGTGCTCTGGGATCCGAATTCAGGTCACCTGGCTTGGTGCTTACCTGCTCAGCCATCTCACTGGCTCCAGAATAATTTGTGAAGTTACTTAGTTAACTAGTTCTTCTGTGTGAGTGTTCTGCCTGAATGTATGGATGTGCATCACGTGAGTGCCTAGTGCCAGTGGAGGTCAGAGGTCCTTTGTAACTGGGGTTAGGGATGGTTGTACGACACCGTGTGGGTGCTGGAGCCGAGTCCAGCTCTTCCGCAAGAGGAGCAAATGCTTTTAACTGCCAAGCCCCCACTCAGAATATTTTTAATAGCTTTATATGTACTGTACTTTTGTGTGTGCATTAGTTTACTTTCGGCTTTAGCTGGAAAAGTCTAGGCTTTTTTCTGTTTTATTTAGGAAATAAGCAAATAGATAATTAATAGCTGGGTGTAGTAGCACATGCCTTAAATCCCAGTGCCTAGGAGGCAGAGGCAGGTGGATCCCTGTGAGTTCTAGGACAACCTGGTCTATATAATGAATTTCAGGATAGCGAGATAGCCAGGACCCTGTCACAAACAACAAAAACAGATCATTAAAATTTAGAAAATAAAGCCAGGCGGTGGTGGCGCACGCCTTTAATCCCAGCACTCGGGAGGCAGAGCCAGGCGGATCTCTGTGAGTTCGAGGCCAGCCTGGGCTACCAAGTGAGTTCCAGGAAAGGCGCAAAGCTACACAGAGAAACCCTGTCTCGAAAAACCAAAAAAAAAAAAAACAACAACAACAACAAAAAAAAAAAACAAAATTTAGAAAATAAATATCTCCTAGAGATAGTAACTGAGATTCTGATAGCCATAACCCAAGACTTTAACAAATTTTTTATTATATTTTGTGTGTGTATGCCTGTGTGAGCACGTGTGTGACACAGTGCACATGTGGAGATCGAGAACAGATTTTAGGAGTTAGTCCTTTTCTTCCACTGTGTGGGTCCCCGGGATTGAACTCGGGTCATCCATCATCTTGGAGGAAGCCCCTTTGCCTGTTGGGCTTTCTTGCTGGCCCAGGTCGACTTCTCTCTGTGCACGTGCACAGCCGTGCATGGATTGCTTGTCTGAGGCAGGGTCTCCTGGAGCTCTGGCTGGCCTCCGATTTGGTGTGTGGCTGAGGGTGTCTCTGAATCGATCCTCTTGTCTCTGATGCCCAAAGCTGGGGTCACACCCGGTGGTGGCAGCTGCTGCTTCCGCTTCTTGGTTTCTACCTCTTCCTCCTCCCCTTCTTGCTTTCCTTTTAACAAAAATTAAATCAGTTTCCCCCTCCAGAGGGTAGCGGTCTTGCTGGGGAAATGGAGCCTTGACCCCAGAATGGCTGTCCTGCAGACATCTGTGTAACTGTCGTGCTGTTCTGATGGTTCTAGAAAGGCGGTTGTCCTGCAGGCTCAGAACCAGATGACGGAGGCGCACAGACTTCTCCAGAAGTTGTTGACGTACTGTCAGAAACTGAAGAACACAGAGATGGTGATCAGGTAAGCCGTCTCTCGGGGGTCTCCCGGGGGTGTGGCGGCAGATCTTCTCATCCCGTCTCCTCTCTGGCCAGCGTGCTCCTGTCCGTGGCTGAGCTCTATTGGCGGTCCTCCTCCCCGACCATCGCCATGCCCGTGCTCCTGGAGGCTCTGGCCCTCTCCAAAGAATACCGCTTACAGTACTTGGCCTCCGAAACTGTGCTCAACTTGGCTTATGCCCAGGTAAGCCAGTCTGCTCTTTCCTGTGGGGGACTGCGGGGTGAGGGTGTGTTACGTTGATGTGTATGGAGTGCATGTGTGTGTACATGTGGGGGCCAAAGTCAGCCTTGAATATCATTTCTTAGCAGCTGTCCACCTTATTTTGAGTTTCTCTTTTTTATATAGGGTCTCCACTGGGTCCTGTGCTTGTCATGTAAGCTAGGCTGGCTAACTACTGAGCTCTAGGGGTCCTCCTGTCACTGGGATTACAGGCACATGTCACTGTGTCCAGCTTTTTATGTGGTTGCTTGGGAATCAGACTGTGGCCCTCTGGTTTCATGGCAGGCAGTTTAACAACTGAACCCATCTGCTTCCCAAGTGCTCAAATTACAGGCAGCCACCACACCTGAGGGGCTTTTTGTTACTGGAGAGAGACAGAGACAGAGAGAGAGACAGAGTGTGTGTGTGTGTGTGTGTGTGTGTGTGAGAGAGAGAGAGAGAGAGAAGTGGTAGCTGGTGATTGAGCATTATTATTTGTTTGTGGGGGTGTTATATGCACATGAGTGCAGGTGCCCTCAGAGTTCAGAAGAGGGCATTGGATCCCTTGGACCCAGGGTGGTGAGCAGCCGCATGTGGGTTCTGGGAACTGAACTCGCGTTCTTTGTAAGAGTGGTACCTCGTAAGGACTCAGCCTTCTCTTTAGGCCCTCTTTGATCACTTTTCATTTTTATTCTTTTTTTTTTTTTTCTATGTAAGATCTTGCTATGTAGCCCAGGCTAGCCTAAAACTTGGGATTCACTTGTCTTTGCCTCCCGAACATTTTGTGTCACGAAACCTGGCCACCTCTACCCCATTTTCAGACAGAGTCGTGCTGTGTAGCATGGACTAGCCTAGGAATTCACCATCTGAACCAGGCTGGCCTCAGACTTGGAGCTCTTCTCCAGCTTCAGTTCCATGGTACCAAGATCACAGGTGTGACTGCCTGTTCTTCAAACGAGCTGTCTGGTTTTGATGTTGTTGTATAGGAGTTCTTGTTGTTTGTTTGTTTTGAAACAGGGACTTATGTAGCCCAGGATGGCTTCATACTAACTATACAGCCGAGGCTAGCTTTAAACTGATCCATACCTCTGGAGTGCTAGATTACAAGCTTGAACCATTTTAATTTTTTTTTTTTTTTCTGAGACACGGTTTCTCTGTAGTTTCGGTGCCTTTCCTGGATCTCGCTCTGTAGCCCAGGCTGTTCTCAAACTCACAGAGACCCACCTGCCTCTGCCTCCCAAGTGCTGGGATTAAAGGCGTGTGCCACCACCGTCTGTAATTTTTAATTTTGATAGATTCAGTTTTAACAATTTTTTCTTTTTGAGCTAGGATCTCATATGTAGCCGTTTACTTTTTCTTATGCTTTTAGTATTGTGTCTAAGAAATAGTTGGCAACTCTAACGGCATAAAGACTTTTCCTTATTTTTTTACAAATATTAAAGTTTTAGCACTTACGTTTAGGGCTTTGAAATAACTAAATGTGTATTAGTGTGTGTCTGCACACGTGTTTTGTGAGTGAGTGTGTGTGTGTGTGTGTGTGTGTGTGTGTGTGTGTGTGTGTGTGTTCCAAAGATCACCCTGGCTGTCTTCTTTGAATGTTCTCTGCCTTATCTCCTACGGAGCCTGGAGCTCACCGATTCAGGAGGCTGCAGCCCACAAGCCCTGCCTTTGCCTCCTCGGTGCTAGGGTTAGGTGCCGATACTGAGGGTGGGTTCAGGGGTCAAACTCAGGTCCTCATGCTGGCCTGCAGGCACTTTATGGACTCAGCCATTGTTCCAGACCAGTTCTGTGAATTATTTAGAGTTAATTTTTATGTGTGGTGTACAAAATTCACCAGCACTACACCGAGAAACCCTGTCTTGGGGGGGGAGGGAGAGGGGACCCCAACTTTTTTCTTCCACTAAATAATGTTAGCACCTCTGAGAAAATCAATTCATGCTAGATGTATAGGTTGATTCTTGGACTCTGAGTTGTATTAATTGACCATGTGTTTATCTTTATATCAATAGTGCCACGTTACCTGTATATATTTTTTTTTTCAAGACAGAGTTTCTCTGTAGCTTTGGACCCTTAGACCAGGCTGGCCTCAAACTCCCAGAAATCCACCTGCCTCTGCCTCCTGAGTGCTGGATTAAAGGTATGCACCACCATCACCTGGCTATCATACATTGTTCTTAAGGTAGAGTCTCTGTAGCTCAGGCTAGCCTCAAACATGTGGCACTCCTGCCTTAGCATCTCTAGTCTTGGGCCTAGGAGTGCATGGCCGAGTCCTTGTCTGTGGTGCTTCGGTTACTAGAACTGTATCGTTCTCCTCCTCCCTGTGGTGCTGAGGATCAAATTAGGAATCAAGAGTCCTCACGGCTTCTACCGCCACGCCTGTCACGTTAAGTCTTTGTGACGGGGCTAGGTGGTGCCTGTCTGTAATCCCCACTTGAGGGACAGTTTGAAGAACTGCTGCACATGTGAGGCCAGCCTAGGCTACAATAGTAAGACCTCATCATAAATGAAACAAACCCAGACCCAAATAAAACAGGACAAAAGAGAAGGAATAAGACAAAGCTTTCCAAAATATGGATGAAATTCCCAACACCCACATAGAAATCGTAGAAATCATACTGTTGTGTGCTTGTATTCTCTGGGAGTGTGTTGTTTAGGATGAGAGAGCCTGTGTCGTGGAGAAGATAAGCCAGAGATAACCATTCAGGAGAAAAAAGAACCCAGCCCGTCTTGGTAGCGGGCACAGGGCATGGGTGTGTGCAATGTGCTGCTGTTTCTCTTTCAGCTCATCCTTGGAATCCCAGAACAGGCTTTAACCCTTCTGCACATGGCGATTGAGCCCATCCTGGCCGATGGGGCGATCCTGGATAAAGGCCGTGCCATGTTCTTAGTGTCCAAGTGCCAGGTGGCTTCCGCCGCTTCCTATGACCCAGTGAAGAAAGCAGAAGGTAGGAGCTGTGGAGGTCGTCAGGCCCGGGCCGCAGTGGCAATCGCCTGCTGCTGCCCTCTCTCCAGCCCTGGCATTCTAATTTTATTTATTTGTTTTCGAGACAGGGTTTCTCTGTGTAGCTTTGAGCCTTTCCTGGAACTCGCTTTGGAGACCAGGCTGGCCTTGAACTCACAGAGATCTGCCTTCCTCTGCCTCCCGAGTGCTGGGATTAAAGGCGTGTGCCACCACCGCCTGGCATATAATTTTTGTAATTTGTTTATTTTATGTGTGTGGGTATTTTTCCTGCATTCCACCTGAATGCCTGGTGCATGAATCCCCTGGAGCTGGAGTTACAGACAGTTGTGAGCTGCCATGTGGGTGCTAGGAATTGAACCTGGGTCCTCTGGAAGAGCAGCCAGTGCTCTTAACCACTGAGCCATCTCTTGAACCCCAGCATTCTGATATTTAATTTTAATTTTTAAAACAAAAATGAGACAAAGCTTTCCATAGTTTGGTGGGGTTTTTGTTTGTTTGTTTGTTTGTTTGTTTGTTTTTTTCCACATTTTAATGAGTGGAGAATATAAGAGTATTTGGTGTTCTGAATCTGGATAGCAGGTTTTGAAACCTGAAGTGTTAAATGTTGATTCCCCCTCCCCCATCCCACTGTCAGCTCTGGAGGCCGCAATTGAGAATCTCAATGAAGCCAAGAACTACTTTGCCAAGGTCGACTGTAGAGAGCGGATCAGAGATGTTGCTTACTTCCAGGCCAGGCTCTATCATGCCCTCGGCAAGACCCAGGAGAGGAACCGGTGTGCCATGGTCTTCCGGCAGCTGCATCAGGAGCTGCCCTCCCATGGGGTGCCCCTGATTAACCATCTCTAGAAGACTCCCTGCTGGCTGGTGTGTAGAGTGCCAGTCACACCCTGACTTGTTCCTGTCCCTCCCTGTACTGAAACGGTGGTCGGAACTTGTTACCTTGTCAATAAACTGTTGGGGTCAGTTTGTCTGGGGTGTTTTTTCTGGGTTGAATTACCAGTGTCTTGGTAAGAACCATGTGTGTTCTCTTAAGAAATCGGCTTAGAGGGGGCATGGTGGCTCAGGCCCTGGTCCCAGCACTTGGGAGGGAGAGGCAGGCGGATCTACAGAGTCTGTCTACATAGGGGTTCAGGTAAGCCAGTGCTGCGGAGTGAGACTCCATTTCAAAACATAAAACTAAGTGGAAGAATTCCTAACCACTCCCCCAGCTCCGTGACCTCACATGCGCTGTCCAGTAGCCAGGCAAGATGCTTCATCACCCTAGGGCCTTACGTCCTGCCTAATCCCTGCGCTGCGTGATCACATCATCTGCGTGCAGCATGCCACGAAATCTATGCGCATGAGTGGTGTAGCTATATAAGCCCATATGCGTATATGTGGGGGGACCCTATAAAAGCGGGTTCCACCTATTCCTCCCCTCTCTTCCTGCAGTCATTCCATAGGCCTATGCACACCCCTTCTGTTCCCTTCCCTTAAACTCTTACCGTGGTTTTTGTTGTACCTGGTGGCTTTTCTTGCACGGTAAACAGCGCCGCTTAATGAATAAACACTTAGGGATGGGGAGATGCAAGTCCGAGGACCCACACAAGAGTTGGGGAGGCGTGGCTGCCGCCTCCTGTTCCAGCACTCCGGAGGCAGAGGGGCTTGCCCAAGCCAGCTGGCTGGTGAGGATAGCAGCGTTGTGAGCTGCTCTCCAATGGGAGAACCTGAGACTCGGGTCAAATGGAGAGTGACAGGATGCCTAGCCTCAGTCGGACTCCCCTCCCCAAAGTGGGCACACAGGCACAGGAGCCCTTGTTCACATGCGCCCACAAAATCGCACCTAAAAAGAATGTTCAGGGCTGGCAAAAATGTGCCATCGGGTAGAGGAGTTTGCCACACAGATCGGACATCCTGAGTTCCGTCCCCTAAACCCATATAAAACAGAGAAGGAGAAAACCAACTCTACATAGGCGTCCTCTGACTTCTGTGCACATGCCTGCCGGTTCTGACACACGTCACACACACACCCCTAATGAAAAGGTCTTGTGGTTGTGATTTTTGTTGGTTTTTTTCCAGGGCTGAGGATCTAACCTAGGGCCTGGCACATGCTGGGCAGGTGCTCTGCCACCGAGCTGTAGCCCAGCCCCCAACCCCCACCCCCCACCCCATCCCCTGAGGGCTTTCATGAGTTTGGGGTTTGCTTCTACAGCTTTGCTTTCTGTCAAGTCCTTGTGTATGGTTGTTGACAAGCATGTACTGGGCAGCCTCTGCCTGGAGATTAAAAAGGAGACGGTCGGTGTCTTTTTCCTATTTTCGGTTTTTCAACGTAAGTGTTTCTCTGTGTAGCCCAGGCTGTCCTGGAACTCACAGAGATCCGCCTGCCTGTGCCTCCCAAGTGCTGAGATTAAAGGTGTGCACCACCACTGCTTGACCAGGAGAAGGTATCTTTAAGTTTATTTATTTTATGATATTAAGACCGATAGCGTATTTCAAAACCAACTATTTTCTGTTTTTTGTTGCTCTTCTGCATGCGTGTGATTTTCTATATGTAAATGAGAAATTATGGTAAGTCTAGGAATTCCGAAGAAAATGATTATAGGGGAGAGGGTCTGAAACTTGGGAGGACCTAGAAACCCTTGAACCCCGATTTACATGCGCCAATCCTATGGTTAAGCACAGTCAGTTGGCACAGTGTGTTCGTGAATTTCTTCCCCTTGACACAGGGAAATGCCTGCATTTCAAGGCCAAAGCAGCCCGCACCCAAACAGCTCTCCTAAAGCCACAAGGAACCAACCAAATTTTGCAGCTTCTGTCATTGGCTCTTTTCTCTGTTAAATTTAAACTTCCTAATGAGAAACAGTTTCTCTCTGAGGCAGTGAAAAACAACTCCATCCGCCAGGGAGTGATTGCTGGCCACAGACGGCTGCTCTGGAAACGGGCTCAGGGTCGACTCAGAGACACTAATTGGAGTGTTGACGTTTCAGGTCTTTCCTTTGCTTTCTGTGGAGGCTGTGTTTGTAGAAATGAAATCACAATAATGGCTGTGTAGTAAAAAAGAAAAATCTTCAGCAAGAGTGTTTATTTTCCTTTGTGTCTTTCTTAGACATGGCTCAGGCTGACCTCAAACTGGGATCTTCCTACCTCAGTCTCCCCGGAGTGCTAGGTAAACAGGTGTGTGCCACTGTACCTGGCCGATACCTGTTTGTGGGGTGGGAAGACAGCGCTGGGGTGACCCCATTGCCTCACACATGCTGAGGATGGTTTTACCACCGAAGCCTTATCACCAGCCCTTGTTACTAGTTATTGTATGAGCTGGATTCCATGTCCATCAGCATAAAACCCCAGAGCCGTCAAGGTGAATCAGGACTGAGGGGCCACATGAAAAGTAAAAATGAGAGGTTTCTGGTATAAAAACTTCTGGTGTTAGGCTGCAGCCCAGTGGTGCATGGGGATCTGGGCTTTGTCTCCAGTGTCCTTTCTCCTATAAAAAAGATAAAAATGACAACATCAGTCCTTGGTTTTTTTGAGACAAGGTCTCACCGTACAGCCCTCGAAGGCCTAAAACTTGCTGTGTGGACCAGGCTGGCCTCGAACTCACAGAGATCCGACTGCCTCTGCCTCCCGAGTGCTGGGATTAAAGGTGTGCGCCTGGTCTCACCCACAAAGCCACCTGTCTGGCCCTGCTCTCAGCTGACTGACTTCATCTTGGCAAGGAAGAAGTCCCCAAAGCCAAAGCTAGCAAGCAGCTCCTTGTTGCCAGCTGTCTGCGACTCGGCCTCCTAGGCTGGTCTTCAGGAGGAGATAGTAGGTCAAATGGAAAGTGAAAATGTCAGAGTGACCCCAAAACACAGAACTATCTGGGTGATCGTTAGCCAGCATTTTTTTTTTTTTTTTTTTTTTTTTGATTTTTCGAGACAGGGTTTCTCTGTGTAGTTTTGGTGCCTGTCCTGGAGCTCACTCTGTAGACCAGGCTGGCCTCCAACTCATAGAGATTTGCCTGCCTCTGCTTCCTGAGCGCTGGGATCAAAGGTGTGAGCCACCACTGCCTGGTGCAACAGTCTTAAAGACTGGGCAATAGCATTAATTCAGTTTAACAGATGAAATTAGGATGTGGGAGCTGAAGTCACTTGCCCAAGTCACGCAACTAGCAGGTTGTGGAATCAGGATCTAACCTCCCTGCATTACCCAGATCCTACTGTTGTGGAAGGTCCTGTGTTTTTGTGAACGCTTTTCCTATTTGTTGACTAATATTGTCATTTTTCTAGTAGCCAAGATGTACCGGACACAACTGAAAACTTACACACCATTTCCAATACTTTAAGCACAGCACCCTCTCCATTTTGCCAATGAGGAGACCGAATTCCTGACACTGGCCTTCGTCAGCCCTGTCACTGGTAAGGACCAGACAGAAGATTCAGTCCCTGGTGTGGCAGCCTCTCCAGCCGATGCTTTAGCTCTGTCCCCAGGCAGTCTTTGCCTTCATCCATATGCCTGGGCTATTTCCACTTGTTTTGAGTATTCAGCCTTGTCCTGATGTTTTTCTTCTTGCAAATGTGTGCAGAGACAGATGAAGAGCTCTCTCATAAACCCTGATGCCGTCTTCTTTGATGCCGTTTGTATTGAGGGCTTAGAAGCCGATTCATCTGGAGAACGTAGCTTTTCAAGGCCTCTTTTAGCTCTTGTTTTGTTGAAGATTACCCAGTGAATCAACTTCGTTGGTGATAAGAATCCCACTCTCTTGTTCTAGACACTCAGGCCTACGCAGCAGAACATTCCCATGAACAACATGAGCAGAACACAGGCCCGCTAAGGGAGGAGGGGCAAAGCCTTGAAAGGACGTTGTAAAGCCGTCCACGTGGGAGAGAAAATGATCAAGTCTTAGATTTCCATGCTTCCCACCCACCCCTCCACAGGGTTTAAGTTTTCTTTAAAAAAAAAAAATAAGACTCAGATGCCTTGTTTACTTATTTCCCGGGCAATCTGTGTTGTCAGGACAACAAGATCTGTTTGTCTAGAATAGGATTTTCAGGCGTTCTTGGAGGGGGAGACGAAAACGCAGAGCCTACTCTTGGTTTTATATCTGTAGGAAAAAAATGGTTTCCTTGTGTGGGATGGCTCCGAGCACACGAGGAGCTGAATGGCTATGACAGGCAATTACGGTGTTCTGCATTTTGTTCTAATTTGCTTTAATAAGAAAGGCACATAAATGGATGGGATTTTTAGCACCGCGCTAAGCATGTTGGTAGTTAGCATCGGTGAGCACTTGCGTGCGAGGCTCTGGGCCAATTTCTTCGCACACATTATTGTATTGAAACCCCAGGCCAAGTCTGTGAGCTTGGGTACTATTGTCCCTATCTGACGGCTGAGGAAACCGAACTGGGAGAGATCAAGTCAATGGCCCCAGCTTACAGAGCTGGACATGAGTGGATTTGAGGCTTGAATGAAGTCCATCTTACGCCAGAGCCATTGCCATTCAGTCTCTGTGCTGAGTTAGGCAAATGTTCTGCCTGTGGTGCCTGCCTGGACTCCAGGAATTTACAGTTCCTGGGTGAGTCAAAAACCTATGAGTGAAGCCGGGCAGTGGTGGTGCACATCTTTAATCCCAGCACTTAGGAGGCAGTGGCAGGCAGATCTCTGTGAGTTCGAGGTCAACTTGATCTACAAAGTGAGTTTCAGGACAGCCAGGGGCACATAGTGAGACCCTGTCTAGAAAAACCAAACCAACCAACCAAACAACAACAATGACAAAAAACATAAGTGGTGCTTGGAACATATAGTTTGGTGGTCAAGTGTTTACCTAGTATGTTCAAGACCCTTGGTTTGATTCCCTAGTAACACAAAACAGAAACTGTAAGTGAAGAAGGAAAGAATCAAAACAAGAAAGTTGACTGATCATAAAATAATCTAACTGCCCATAGACATCAGAAGAGAGAATCAGAAGATGTCAGACCCCCTGGAACTGGAGTTACAGGTGGTTGTGAGCCATCATGTGGGTGCTGGGAATCAAACCCAGGTCTTCCACAAGAGCAGTGAGTGCTCTTAACTGCTGAGCCGTCTCTCCAGCCTTTAAGTTTAATTGTATGGGCATTTTTAACCTTTCTTTAGCCTTTAAGTTTATACTGAATTTCTGCCTGTGTTATCTACAGTGTTATAATAAAACATGGACAATTTAGTAAAACATGGCAGAGTTATACAGAATTGTACTTTTTCTTTTTCTTTCTTTTTTTTTTTTTTGGTTTTTCGAGACAGGGTTTCTCTCTGTAGCTTTGCGCCTTTCCTGGAACTCACTTGGTAGCCCAGGCTGGCCTCGAACTCACAGAGATTCGCCTAGCTCTGCCTCCTGAGTGCTGGGATCAAAGGTGTGCGCCACCACCGCCCGGCAATATTGTACATTTTAACAAGTAACAGGAAAACAGGAAAGAACACCAGGGCCTATTTTGGTTACTCTAGGGAAGCAGGGTTGCCCAAGGGTTTTTTTTTTCTGTTTTTTTTTTTGATTTTTTTCAAGACAGGGTTTCTCCGTGCAGTTTTGGTGCCTGTCCTGGATCTCACTCTATAGACCAGGCTGGCCTCAAACTCACAGAGATCGGCCTGCCTCTGCCTCCCGAATGCTGGGATTAAAGGCATGTGCCACCACTGCCCGGTGCCCAAGTATTTTATTTTCTTTGCCCATAGGCCATCTATTTATGTTTTTATAGATGGAAACAATGAGTTTACTGGACTTATTTAGAAGAGCATGGGTGGCCTCCAAACAGCTGTGTCACTTCAAAGTGCCCCCCTCCTTAATTATATGAAGATCACCCTTGATGTTTATAAATAAAGTTTTATTAGGAACACGTCCATTGATTTATTATTGTCTGCGGCTGCTGACGGCAGAGTCGAGTCATCACGGTAGAGAGCATAGGGTAGATCCTGAAATGTTGACCTCATGGCCTTGTACAGAAAAGTCTGCCAACTCCTGCCTTGGCGTTAATGACTCCAAAGCCCCCGCCCCCATTTAGCCTTGATGGCTGTTTGAGGTGGGGGGAACCATACGATACAGAAAAATACAGAACTGTGTACCCCCAGCTCAGCATGGACTGGTGTCAGCATTTTGCAATCTGCTTCACAAACATTTATAGTGGAATTAAAACAAATATTACAACATCTTCCTATACTTGCTGCCCCCTTCTCTCCCTTCCCTTCCTCCCTCCCTCCCTATATTTATTTATTTATTCATTCATTTTTAGTTTTTTGAGACAGTGTTTCTCTGTGTAGCTCTGGCCATCCTGGAACTTGCTCTGTAAACCAGGCTGACCTCAACTCAGAGATCCTCCAACCTGCCTCTGCCTCCTGAGTGCTGGGATTGAAGACATGTGCCACCACCACCCATCTTATTTGTTTATTATTACTACTTTGTCTTTTTTGAAACAGGATCTATGTAGTCCTGGTTGCCCTGGGATTCCCTGTGTAGGCTAGGCTGGCCTTGAACTCATGGAGATCCTCCTGTCCCTGCCTCCCAAGCGCTGGGTTAAAGGCCCATGAATGTCTGTCTGTGCACCACATGCATGGACTGCCTAAGGCCAGAAGAGGGCGTCAGATCCCTGGGAACCGGAGTTCCAAAGGGTCGCCACCTGTCATGTGGGTGCTTGGAATTGAACCCAGGTCCTCTGCTAGAGCAGCTGGTGCTCTTAAGTACTGAGCCATCTCTCCAGCCCCCTCCCTTTATTTTTATACCATGCTGGTTGGTACCTCCTACATGTTAGGCAAGTGCTCTACCTCTGAGCTGCACCCTAGCTGCCTACTTCCTTCGTGGTGTCAGACTGTCATGAATCTAACATGAACCAACCCTCTCCGACTTTTATATCTTTTTGCATAAGCATGCGTCCATAAGCATACACCGTGTGGGCATCACAGAACATGCTGCTACCCTCTTGAAATCAGAGCGGCTTGTGCTTGCCTCTGCAAGAGCCCCTCACAACCCCCAGGCTATTATTAGACCTTCACCTGAGATTACAGTCACCCACTCCTTCCCTCTGGGGCCCGCCCCAAGCCGCACATGGCCCTGGGGGATGCTAGAGTCTACAGGAGGGGGAGGCAAACGAAGGAGAACTCCATCCATGTCGCTTTTGGCAGGTCACCATCCATGCTGGAGATGAGTAAGCCCAATAAACTCATTGGTCCACCAAGCCGGGCTTGGACGGGAACTGTGTCTTTGATCTGCTGTTGGCGCCCTATTTTGGGTGAATAGACGTTTGTTCATGTCTCCCCAGGCAGTCACTCAAGAGTGGGGCTTAAAAATACACACTGTGCGTGATACTGTATTTATCCCGCAGCTTGCTCTTTTACTCTACATGTCTCTGTGCTCTTTTCTTGTGGGTACAAGTAGATCTAACACAGCCCTTTTAACTATTGTGTACTATTCCACCACGTCTCGCTCTGTTTGCTATGACTAACAAATAAATGTGAGCGCATTGAGCAATATCAGAGGTGGCCATCTCATTAGAACGGTCATTGAGTTTATTTGTCCGGTCCCTGGAATTGTTTGTGAATGCCCCTGCAGCCTAGAAACACTGGAATAATTTACTAACGAGGGCTGGAAGTTGACAAAGAGCTTTGAATCCTCAGCGAGCTTGACGTCTCAACTCCGATTCCCTTTTGGCTGCTGGCAGGGACATAAGCGGACAGCCACTGGTGAACATCCAAGTCTGAGTTCAATGACCCTCACTCACCCCGAAAGGCCACCGGGTCAGCGAGCCCTTGAAGTACCCTTTTCCGTCTCCGTTGTTAGCCAAATGGGAGACTAAAGGAGCTTAAGGCTCCTGCAAAGTAAAACGCCAAAAAGGGGAAGAGTGTTTGGCCAGAACAGGATGTATTTCATCACACGCATCTCAACAACCTTGTGGGGAGACCCAGAACTTCACTGGGCCGTACCGAGTGATGCATTTCAGGGCGAGCCTGCAGCAGTGGTCAGCGGGGAGGCGGCTGCGGAAAGGGCTTCCCCATAAATGGGCGTTGCCCCGAAATCCAGGGAGGGAACCGCCAGACAGGCTCCTGGGTTTCCCGCCGCCTCGGGGGAACTTCCCCACGCTCAGAAACAAAGCGGCGTGGAGCAGCCGGCCGTGAACCGAGACCCACCCGCAAACTTGCGGCCTGTGCGCCCCTGTGCGGGCACCGGCCTCGCTTTCCTGCCACCCATCGCCTCCTTCCCGTCCCCCCCCTCCACCTCGCCTCCGCCCCGGTGCTACTTAAGTCTCCGCGGGACCCGGCGCGCGGCCGAGGCTGCGGCGGGCACGCGCGCTCCACGCCGGGTGCCTGGCCAATCAGCGCGG